GTTCAAAGCACAGTGTTTAATGTACAGGAAAGCACAGCAGAGTATTTCATACCTGTATGAATTCGGATGTGCTCTATGAGCCGTGCTGTGCCTTTGCTGGCGTAGTTGCAGTACCGACACTTTAACTTCCCATCAAACGTCCGTTCAAAGCCATCCACCAACATTCCTGAGTTTTCATCCAGTGAAACTTCAACTGAAGGATGATCCAGTCCATTCTGATCACCTTCTGTCCCAGCTGTAAATAATACAACACAGATGTCAATCAAGAATCGGTGGGATACTACTGAGAACATGCTACACATCTTCAGCTTCCCTATGCCCTTGGTCTTTCTATTTAAAGCACTGTAAGAACATCCCCTTATCGTAACAAAGGTACAGCCACATCTTTTCTGATGAGAAAAAAAAACTATCAGAAATACTTCTGTATAGTTATAGGCCTCTGCTTAATTATCTGGAACATCAACAGTGCAGTCATTGTCTAAAAGACTAAAATTTGATAGCACTGCAATTTGCTTACCTCCCTGGAGAGTCTCTGCTTCCTTGTCTCCACAAACTGATCCAGAAATCATATTTACATGGTGAGTCTGCTGTGTAAGATATTCCTGAAAATCCTTTACAAAGTCCAAAGTTTCTGGCTTCTTCTCACCCATATTCAGTCTTTTAAGTTTACAACCTCTTGTGCCTAGAAGGAAAAATATTGTCATAGAAATCACAGAACTGTTTGGGTTGGAGAAGACCTTTCAAAATCATCAGTGCAACTGTTAATTCAGCACAGCCAAGGCCACCACTAAACCATGCCCCTAAGTTCCACATTTACAGGTATTTTAAATACCTTCAGGGATAGCAACTCCACCACTTCCCTGGGCAGCCTATTCAGTGCTTGACAACCCCTTTAGGGAAAAATGTTTCCCAATATCCAATCTAAACCTCCCCTGGTACAATACGATGATGTTTCTTCTTGTCCTGTTGTTACCTGGGAGTAAACCAGCCACCACCTGGCTCCATCCTCCTTTCAGGTAGTTGAGAGTGATAAGGATCTCCCCTGAACTGAACACGGGATTCAAGGTGTGGCCTCACCAGTGTTGAGTAGAGGAGGACCATCACTGACTGCCCTGGCCCTGCTGGCCACACCAGTACTGGCTCAGACCAGGATGCTCTTGGCTTCCTTGGCTGCTGGGGCACACAGGCATTTTTTTTTTTACCCAGCAAAGAGTACACCCATCCAAGCCCTGAACAGCAGTTTCTCCAAAGAGAATGCTGTGGGCAGTAAAGGCTTTACTGAGGTCCAGGTCAACAACATCCAACATCTAGTAAGTGCTTCATCTTGTCATAGAACATGAGGTTACTCAAGCAGGATCTGCATTTCATAAAGCCATGCTGACCAGGCCTGATCTACTCCATCACCTTCCCTGCCACCAAGGTCAGGCTGACAGATCTGTAGTTCTCTGGATCCTCCTTCCAGCCCTTCTTGTAGATGGGTGTCACACTTGCTAACCTCCAGTCAAACTGAGACCTCACCAGTGAGCCAGGACTGCTGGTAAATGGTGGGAAATGGCTTGGTGAGCACTTCAGCTAGCTCCCTCAGTAGCCTTGGGTGGATCCCATCTGGCCACATAGACTTGTGTGTGTCTAAGTGATATAGCATATTGCTGACCAGTTCCACTTGGATTACATGGGCTCCATTCTGCTCCCTGTCCCCGTCTCACAGTTCAGTTTCAAAATGCAAATGTCACTGAATTTGAATGCATTCATACAAACAAGTTTAGGTTTGGATTTCTTTTTAAGCAAAGGATTGCTTTTATCATACAGCATGACTCAATGCAAAGTGACAACCATACAAATATTTTTTTTAGAGCTTTTAACTCACTAAAAACTCATCACCAAATATATATTACTTGGGAAACTGGGTTTTAGCAACAATATAAAAATGAATAAAATGAAGTAATAATCAAAATCACCTCTTTTTAATTGATCATACCTGAATTTTAGTTCCCTGCTAAGCAGCAAACATGGTCCCAGAGGTACTCTCAACAGGTTAGATATAAAGCACAGGGCACAGCTTCTCTACTTTCCCTGGAAGGAAAACAAGGAAATGTAAGTGCATTATTCTCCCTAAGAGTCGTAAGAAAGGAACTTGAAAAGACAGCTGTTTTGAAAGCCAGGCTCTAACACTGTACTGCTGTTAGTTTTAGAGAAACAATTCCACTTCCAGCAGAAACTTCTCAAAGACTGCACCCACTCCTACATACATCCCACTGAAAGACACCTCTATCCCACTGATTATTTGAAGAGTTTCCCTGGTGAAGGCATAGCTCCAGAAAATCCCAGAGGTGGGTAAGTTCGTTATAGCAACTGTGATGCTGGGAAACCAACTGGATGTCACTGATTAGCAAGAAAGAACAGAAAGCAGTGTTTCACACTGTCCTGGGTTCAGCTGTAGCAGTTATTTTTCTCCTTCCTAGTAGCTCGTGCAGTGCTGGCTGGGCTTAAACCACAACACAGACTTCTTCCATAATTCCAGTTTCCTACCCTGCATAACAGCCATAATCCAGTTCATTATTTCACATTGAAATAGTAACAGTATTCACTAGAAGTCACTGGTCATGCTCTTTTCTGGAGCATGACAAACCCCTAGAGTCTCCATTTGCAATGTATTTATGAGGACAGAATTTAGGATTCAATTGGGAAGAGGGTGGTGAGTCAGTCACATTATTATTCCTACAGATTATAATCACAAGTAATTTAGAATGCTACAGTTTCACTAAGAATATCTTTTTGCTTTCCAACAGCTACTAAACAAAGAATCAGTGACCTACAAAAACTCAAGTATTGAGTTCAAGACCACATTTAACCACATTCTCCTGTATTTTCAAAGTTATTTACGAGCATTAGTTCTTTTCTGGCAAGCAGGTGAGTATGGTCTTCACATCATACCTGAGTGTGCTCAACTACCATGGCTATTGTCACCATTAAGCTAATCCTGAACACAACTTTATGTATCAATTTTGCCTACCCTCCTTCAGGTGTTACCAGGCTTCCGTAGGCTGAAGTTAATTTATGTTCTTTTTGTTGGTGTCTCCTGTAATAAAACAAAGATATCAGGATATGAATTAAAGGTATGGAAGCGAAAAAAGCAGGACGAGTCCTGACCAACTCTCACCAGATTAGAATAGTAAGAAATAACCATTTAAAGTTAAATCATCATTTTAAATGTGGAATGTTTCAACATGAAACAATGTTAAAGGTCTTTCACAAAAAGACTCTATATATCCCTTCGTACTGGGGGCAAAAAACACACTTTAATACAATTAACTGTATCCTTACACTGAATTTTAGAAGAAAATTACACAAAGAAAAAAAAAATCTGATTGAGGAAAAGCCATTATTTTGGTTATCAACTCCATCAAACTTCCTTTCTTCACCTCATCAATTTAATTTGAAAACATTCATCCTTTTTTCTTATATCAATGTAGGTAAATTGCTGCCATTCAGCACCGCCTCAAACCTCTATACATCCATGCACAAAAGAACCCTTTGTGATTTTAGGTGGTACTTCTTATGGCTATCCAACCAGCAGTTCTCCTTTTCAGGAAGGAATGATACAGATCAGACACTCGCCCTGCCACTACTGCAACCTAATAAATGCAATTCTCACTATCAGCAACCTGAGCACACCAGCTCGTGTTTCACGCACTCCAACAGGGCTGATCATGCCACGTGCTCCTCAGGTCCTGCTAACACAGGACATCACCTTCGCAGACAAAACTGCGCCTTCTCCAGCTTTACACACTGACGGGTGGAACACCAGTTACTCACCGTCCACTCAGGTACTAGTCTAACACTAGTTACAGTGATGATCTGTACTAAGATTATTGGCTCCGAAGCACCAGAAGGATGAAAGGTGGTGTAAGTATTTTGCCTGAAAAATTCTGCTAAAGAAAATAACTCAGACGCATAAAACCAGTGGTTTAACACACACAGCAAGAACTCATACTGCGTAATTACGAGACTAAAATAATATGACTATGAGCACATGCATCCTGGTTTCCTTTATGGAATTAAGGGGGGGGGGGGGGATTCTCTACCTCAGCCTCATCTCTTCCAGAGTAAATGATTTAAAACTAAAGGAGGTAAGCTCCCAGGCTCTCTCCAAGCTCTCCCTGCGCCTATACCAGTGTAACTGTAAGAGAATCAAATGACTATGAGAACATGTACCCTGTTTTCTTGAAAGGAATTAAGGGGGAATTCTTTGCCTCAGCCTCATCTTTTCCAGAGGAAAAGATTTAGAGCTAAAATAAGGAAGGGGGAAGGATCCCAGCCCCTCTCCAAGCCCTCTCTTCTCCTTCTGAAGGACTTTTACGCGTGGGAAGGAGAATCACAGAACGCTTTGGGTTGGAAAGTACTTTAAGATCACCTATTTCCACCCCCATCGCAGCGCCGGCCGAGCCCCGCCACCCGCCACAGTAGCCGCCGCAGACAGCGGCTCGCTCCGCCGCCCCCGATCCACACCTCACGGTGCAACAGCAACTCTGCGCGTCTTCCACCCTCCTCCGACCCACAGGCGCCTCCGCACTGGGGCAGGAAGCGACACGGCCACGGGAGTCCTCCACTTAAACCCGGCTCCCACACAAGGGAGACGCTGAGGGGCTACACCGGTGGACCTCGGCCCCCGCTCCCAATGGAGGAGCACAGCTCTGCCTGTCTGCTTGCTTGCTTGCTTGCCCGCTCCACACAGCGAGCGGAGAGCAGCCGCATCCCCTCCACCCGGCCTCAAAGCTGGACGACAACGAGAGGACCGCGAGCATGAGGAGGAGAAGAGATGAACGCTACTCACCACCGCAGCCGCCGCCATGTTTGTTGTGCCTTCGGCAGCTGTGCCCGGCCCACCGTAACCTCGCGAGACCTTGTCGGGGGGGGGGGCGTGGCCCGCCGGGCTGCGCGCGCACGTGGGGAGGCGGGGGGGGGGGGGGCGGGGAGGGGGTCGGGGGGGGGTTGGGGGCGGGCGGGAGGCGGAAACAATATGGCGGCGGCGGCGGGAGGTTGGCTGAGGGGATGCGCGAAGGTGAAGCGGGTGTTTGAGGGCAGCGGGGGTGGGATGGGACCGGGGAAGGGGAACTGCGTTACCCTGCAGGCCGCTAAGGGTGAGAGTGGCTCCGGGAGCTGTGCAGGGGTGAGGGTGCGTGTGTAAAGCGCTTTTCTCCCTGTCTTGCGCCGGACAGGGGCTGTGGGGTAACTCTGCCTTAAGAAAAGGCCTCGTGAAATGGTGTGGTGGGGGGAGCAGCCCGCGGCTGGGGTGTCTGTGAGGTGACAGCAGAGGTGCTTTGGTGTCCCCTCATCTAAACAGGGTTGTGCTACTGCAGGGGTAATCTAAGGCAAAGGGAACAAGAATAAAACGCTGGGTCTGTGCTTTTACTGTGCAGAGGGAAGGAACGTGCTGGAGAGCTGTATTTCAGGCCATATGGCAGAGTGTTGTGATGACTGAAATACAGAAAACTGACCCATAAATGAGAGCAGGCAAGTTTGCTGTGGTGCAACTTCTCTGCTGAGGACTAAAGGCTGTCAGGAAGCCAGATAGAGGAATGAAAGTCATCAAGGAAAGAAGGCCAGGTTGGACAGGGCTTGGAGCAAGCTGCTCCAGTGGAAGGTGTCCCTGCCCGTGGCAGGGGTTGGAACTGGATGAGCTTTAAGGTCCCTTCCAACCCAAACCAGTCTGTGAATATTCTATGAATTGTAGGAATAAAAGTGTAAAGAATAATAAAATCTAAATTAAAATTTAAATCTAAATGTTGAAATCACCATTTCTGTGCTATGCTGTTACTCTGGCATACGCATGGGTTGCTGCTCTGTGTGGGAGTGGTGGTGGTGTTGTGGTCTGCAAGGTTTGTACTTCCAACTTTGCCTGGAGCAGAGTCCTCTGCATTGATCTGGTGATGTGTTCACCCACGATAATCCCACATCTGAGTGTCAGGTGCCATCAAACAGAAGTAGAGGTAATCCCAGTTTACTGCCAGTTGTTGCTTCAACAGTACTGGCTTGTTGCCTGCTGAGCTCACCTCCTCACAGCTTTCCAAATAGGTTTGTATTCTCAAGAAGGCATTTTCCCTGCAGCTCTTGGTCAGTGTTGGTGAAATATTCTCAGTGAGGTGTCTTTGGTTATGCCATCATGAAGGAAAAATGTTCTTTTCTTTGTGTTTGGAAATAAAGGAGTGGAAGAAGCAGGATGTATGTGAGATTTGTAGTCCTCTATGACTTAAACAGGTGAATGTTTGCACTCCTAGGTGTTGAGTGACCCTATGTCACTACCCAAAAGGAGTAGTTTAGACGACCTCCCTCCCCTTGGGACCAACAACCAAGTTCATGATACACTTGCACTGAATTAAGGTGAAATAACACCAGCCAATCAGTTTTATGATGTATTAATACAAAATACAAGGCATGTGGTTAGATATAACTCACCAATGATTATTTTAACTGGATCAGAGAGTCCCATGCCATGTGTTTTTACTTTGATCTAGTCAATATTAAATGAAAAAGAGAGAAGAGGAGAAGAAAAGAAGGAGAAAGGGAGAGGGAGAAGCATCACCACCTATGGATCCAGCAACATCTCGTTGGTCCTCTTCACCCAGGGTATTGTTGCTGGTGGGAGCTCTGACCTGAGCCCTGCACTTTCATGTTCACGTTCTTCTGGGTGCAAAGCAGCATAGAGAGCTGTTACTATGATAATGATGGGCATAGTTTAGTGAGCACATGCTTGATTCCACAGCTGGGTTTCCTTAGGGTCATCCAGGTGGTCAATGTCCCTCTGTTGTCCCTGTTACCCTGGTGTCTACTTTTTGACTTCATCCTCTAAGTCAGCTCATCCTTGAGTCATCCTTTCATATTTCTGTGGAGGCTTATCAGCTTCGAACAAAAGGATCAGAACAATCCTAGCTGTTATTCTGTATTGAGAGTATTGACAGCTAACATCCTTGTTATTTGCTTAATCTATGCTTAAGGCCTCTCATGGTCAAATGCATGGACATGGAGCTGTTGGAGTGAGCCCAGAGGAGGCCAGAGAGATGCTGCGAGGGCTGGAGCAGCTCTGCTCTGGAGCCAGGCTGAGAGAGCTGGGCTGGGTCAGCCTGGAGAAGAGAAGGCTCCTGAAGGGGAGACCTGAGAGCAGCTCCAGTGCCTGAAGGGGCTGCAGGAAACCTGGAGAGGGGCTTGGGACAAGGGCCTGTAGGGACAGGCCAAGGGGAATGGCTTTAACCTGCCAGAGGGGAGACTGAGATGAGCTCTTAGGCAGAAGCTGTTCCCTGTGAGGGTGCTGAGGCGCTGGCACAGGGTGCCCAGAGAAGCTGTGGCTGCCCCATCCCTGGCAGTGCTCAAGGCCAGGCTGGATGGGGCTTGGAGCAGCCTGTTCTAATGGAAGGTGTTCCTGCCTGTGGCAGGGGTTGGAACTGGGTGAGCTTTAAGGTCCCTTCCAACACAAACGATTCTAGGATTCTAAATAATCCACTCCTGACTGACAACTTCTGGAACACAGTTGCTTTGAATTTCATTTCTATCAAGTCAACTCTTTGTTTTCTGCGAAGACCTAACTCCAGTAACAGAATCTTAATATTAAAGTGTTGCAGCTCTTGCTGATCATCCAAACTTTGTATTCGTGAATCAGCCCCACTAGTCAGTATATGTGACATGGGGTATTGAATGCGAACAAACATTGAATGTTCACAGAAATACTTGTTTTCTGTATTACCGCTTCTTGCTGGTTTTAGTTGTCAAGCATGACTAGTTGGAGTTTCCTTACTATAATAGACTTACACATCTTGTGTCTAAGACAGGAGTCCGTAGATCTGCTTTGCATCAGTTCTTCAGCCAGGGAGATGACAAGCGTTGAAAGCCAACATAAAAGAGAGTGAATTATTAGAAGGATCAAAGGAATTTTTACTTCCTGACCCCGAAGTTTCTGCTGGGTTTTGAGGAATGCTGCTATCAATGTGCACTGCGATATTGTCTTGTGATCAGAGACCTGAATAGCAGTCTGGTTACAGCACAGTCTGTCGGTCTGCTCACTGTGGGGTTAAGAATGTGCGCTGGCAAAAATGTGTGTTAGCAGGCATATGTTCACATATACATTATTTTTATGGCACAGCTATGTCTCTACTGGGAGTTTCTGTCAGCAGTTGTCTTGGTAAGACATTAATATATCCACACTTTAGACTGACATAGCAGAAGTGACAGAAGTCTGTGGCGAAGATCTGATCTGTAGATGCTAGCCACAGCATAAATTGGGTTTGGGGACCTATGAGAGTAAAGCCATGTTTCTGTCATCCCCCCTTTGAGATCAAAAGCTCAGTTTATCATTAAAGTTGACTGGCCTTCTGTAAAAACCATTTGTAAGTCTATTTCACATTTACTCTTACCCTGTTTATTAATGAAGATACTAAATCTATCAAAACATACACTTAGTACTATGAATATTGCAACAGACTTGGAAAATCATCTATAAAAATAAATACTATTATCAGTGTGCTTGTATATATACAGTATATTGACTAAAATTAATGTTTGTAAATCCGTTGTGGAATAGGATTATGTTAGCAAGCTTCCACGAAGAAAACTGTTTGAGGTTAAAAGGAGAGTAATTAAAGGATATTTTCTCTTAGGGCACTGGGAGTGGGGAGGTTTGTATCATCTCAAAAACTTTCAAACTAGACGTTGAATGTAAATGATAGTTCCTAATCATTTACTGAATCAAAACACTGAATAAAATGGTGTATTGCTGTGTGTACACAAATACAAGTTCTAGTAACTGTTTGCATGTTCTGTGTTTATTGTCAACAGCTGAAAAGAAATATGCCAGTGTACTTGGCTCCTTGGAGGGCTTCTCCATGTGCCTTTCGATCCTCCAGATCTGAACCCATGCCAAATCTAGCCAGTGATGGAGTTGTCTGTGCTCCACTTCAGACATTCACTGAAGAGGAGACAATGCTGAAAAATATGGGTACCTATTGTCTGTGCAGTTAAAATTCAAAGATGTCTTAACTAGAAGGGGAATCTTAGCTTTAAAAATTCATTGTTTAATTCTAGGTAAATATTGAGACTGGGGGGGGGAGGGGGTTGTGCTTAATTTTATAAGTGATTTAGTTCACAAGAGAGAAGTGTAGTGTTCTTTTTCCATGTTACGATAGCACAGTTCCATGTACCACAGTGAGGTTACATAAATAAATAGTAAGTGCTTAAAACTATTGCTGTCACAGAAGTGAAGTTGCCTGGCTCTGACTCATGCTGCTTCTGAAGTGTTTAGGTCAGCTATAGGTAACTGCTCCAGTTGGTTTTCAGATATTTCCAGTATATCCAGAATGGTGATGGATGTGATGTGTCTATAATGCAGCCAGTCCTGCGCGAAGATGATAGTGTTTCAGAAGGGATCCTCAAAGCAAACGTGAAAGGATAAGAACCTTCACATCCTAGAGGGAGCTTGTAAAAGGCTCCAGTTAAACAGAAATAGTCTCACAGGATTTTGTGCACACATAATAACACACGTTAAAGCCTGAGACCATCTTCCTAAACTGCAGGTTTAATTTATAAAGAAATAGGATATGGCTAACCAAGTAAGGGATGTATTTGAATTATTTTCTGTATTTTTTTTTCAGTGACCCAGTGTTGCATAAATGTTGCTGAGATGCTTTCAAAGTTCTTGGATTTATAGGATGTTTCCATTTAGGGAGTTGTAGCTTAGTACAGAAAACAGTTATAATTGAGCCTTATAGCACATCACCTTGTTTCAGTTGGGCGACTTTCTGTCCTTTTGTTCACTTGTCTGGGAGAGTCAGGGGATATATGCATAACCTGTCCAAAGTACCACGTTACTGTGATACTGATCTTTAAGGAGACTGTTGGAATACTTACATGCTTGCTTTCTTCTCTTCATTACAGTGACAAAGTTTGCTCAGGAGCGAGTTGCACCTTTGGTACAGAAAATGGATGAGAATTCAAAAATGGAAGACTCTGTAATACAAGGATTGTTTGAACAAGGGGTCTGCATACTTTTACTTAATCCTTTATTCAGAAGGTGGTGATTTTAGGAATCTCTAGCTGTGCACTTGTCAGATTTTTAGATTAAAAGTTTGAGAGATATAATTGAAATTAACCAGTGCATCATTAAAAATTCTAGATTTATCAACAGCAAGGCAACTTTCTCTCCATTTTTAAGAACTCTCCATCTTTTACTGTAGTATTCTTTCCATGCCTCCCTCTCCCACACCATTGTTTGTCTTACCTTTTAGTTCCTTGTTTTCCCCCCCATGCCTTTTTGTTTTGTTTTGTTTTTTCAATTGGATAAACATAATTGTGTAGAGTGCTTGAACTGCCATGACTCTGATAAGTTTTGCTGGAGTGTCAGGAGTCCTCCATGCCTTTACTGGCCAACCGCAAGGATTTGTGTTGCAGAAACCTTGGTGTTCGTTCCTGGATCCAATTTTAGCTTTTTCTGCCATCAGGCCTCTCACTGCAAGAGAGACATTGAGGTGCTAAAGCAAGTCCATAGAAGGGCAGTGGAGCTGGTGAAGGGTCTGGAGCACAAGTATGATGGGGAATGACTGAGGGACCTGGGAGGTCCAGTCTGGAGAAGAGAAGGCTCAGGGGGGACCTCCTTGTTCTCTGCAGCTACCTGCAAGGAGGTTGTAGTGAGGTGGGGTCTGTCTCTTCTCCCAAGTAATGAGCAATAGAACAAGAGAAAACAGCCTCAAGTTGCACAAAGGAAGGTTGAGACTGGATATTAGGAAACATTTCTTTCCTCAAAGGGTTGACAAGCACTGGAACAGGCTGCCCAGGGAAGTGGTTGAGTCACTGTGGCTGGAGGTGTTTAAAAGATGTGTAGATGTGGCACTTAGGGACATGGTTTAGTGGTGGACTCGGCCATGCTGAGTTAACAGTTGAACTCGATGATCTTAAAGGTCTTTTCCAGCCTAAATGGTTCTATGATTCTGTGAGGAATTGTTAGTTTGTTAAGGGTATTGAAGGAAAACAGTTATCTGGAGAAAGATCTGGAAATACATTCTGTGTCTGTTATTTTAATATATTAAGTATCAGGTTGGACTAACAAGTTGCTGACAGGAACTAAGATTAATTTATTTGCATCTTTTCTATTTCAGCTGATGAGTATTGAGCTTGGGGAAGAATATGGAGGAACTGGAGCTTCATTTTTTTCCATCATATTGGTGGTGGAAGAATTAGCCAAAGTCGATCCAGCTGTATCTCTTCTATGTGAACTCCAAAATACACTAACAAATAAGTTGTTTACCACATATGGAACAGAAGAACAAAAAAGAACTTACTTGCCCAGAGTGGCTAAAGATACGGTGAGTCAAAGTCTCACTTTACTGAACTGGAATATGGTTCTTGACAGGGATATTAGTGGGGCTTTTTCTTTCAGTGGCAGCAGCATTGGAAAATAATCTTTATGTGTGAGCTTTGAAGCACTGGGTAGAACTGAGATCTGTGGTGCTATAGATACATCCTGTCACCAGTAGCTGAGAGGTAAAAGTGGAAAGGCAGTTACTAGTTTCATTAAAATTTAATTTACTGTGGAAAAGAATGTTAAAGCAGTTGACTTTGAGAGATGTGTAATTACACAGTGTTTCTATTCTTAATCTCCATATCTGAAACTTAATTACTTTGATGCAGTAGGTTAAAATGTTTGAATTTAAGAGACTTGTGCTTGTTCATAACTATTTTAATTGCAGACATGTACCTATATGTTCAGTAAAAACTAAGACTACTTTTTCCCTTGACAGATAGGTAGTTTCTGCCTTTCGGAGGCTGGATCTGGCAGTGATGCTTTCTCTTTGAAGACTCGGGCTGAAAAGAGAGGAGACTACTATGTCATCAATGGCTCAAAGATGTGGATTAGTTTAGCAGAACATGCAGGAGTTTTCTTCGTGATGGCAAATACAGATCCATCCTTAGTAAGTTGCTAAAGAAGAGTCACATTTCAGTGACAGCTCATGATATATGAAACTAGGGATTTGATATCAATAATCTGATGTTAAAGGTTAATATTCCGTGCACCTTTTGCTGGCTGACAGCAAACCTTTAAAAATGTTTTCCAACAAAACTTGAAAACTTGCTGAGCAATTTAATAAATTCGTCCCACCAGGGAAAATAAAAATGTCAGGAACATAATTGCTTAGATGAAGAGCACAGCGTGCATTGGGATTATTCTGAGTAAGGGAAGAACAACAGATAGTCTGTGTCTTTCCAGTGCTTCTGACTTAACTGACAAAGTTGCTGTTATTAAAAGGCAAAAGAGAGCTTAGGCTACATGCACTGGAAACCTAACAAGGATATACTACAGAAAGGAGTGTTCAGGTAAAAAAACCAAAGCTGAATATACACATTTCAAGTTTTGCCACCAATTTGGATGTAGGTCGTAGATTCAGAAAAGTCAACTACTGAACTATATCAGTAGAGTAGAGTAATAATAAAATACAAATCTAAGTTATTTAAAACTTTTAGTTATTATTTAACTTCTTTCAGTATCTCTTTCTTAAAATTTTAACTTAAATATTTTTTATATTAAATTTCCTGTTTTGACTAAGTAAGAAGAAGGGTCTTTCTTTCATTGTACTGAACACAAGAGGGACATGGAGCTGTTGGAGCAAGTCCAAAGGAGGCCATGGAGATGCTGCAAGGGCCGGAGCAGCTCTGCTCTGGAGCCAGGCTGAGAGAGCTGGGCTGGGTAAGCCTGGAGAAGAGAAGGCTCCTGAAGGGGAGACCTGAGAGCAGCTCCAGTGCCTGAAGGGGCTGCAGGAAAGCTAGAGAGGGGCTTGGGACAAGGGCCTGTAGGGACAGGCCAAGGGGAATGGCTTTAACCTGCCAGAGGGGAGACTGAGATGAGCTCTTAGGCAGAAGCTCTTCCCTGTGAGGGTGCTGAGGCGCTGGCACAGGGTGTCCAGAGAAGCTGTGGCTGCCCCATCCCTGGCAGTGTTCAAGGCCAGGTTGGACACAGGGGCTTGGAGCAAGCTGCTCTAGTGGAAGGTGTCCCTGCCTGTGGCAGGGGTTGGAACTGGGTGAGCTTTAAGGTCCCTTCCGACACAAACCATTCTAGGATTCTATGGGTTTAGAGCCATTATTTGATTGACCACTTCATAGTAAAGATACCCAATGTCTTCTTACAACCCACTGTTTGTGACATATGTTCTGATGGCAAGGACTGACTTCACTGCACAGCAATAATTTGCTTTCCCAGTGATTTCCAGTATAGACAGACATCAGAGTCCTATTTGTTTCATTTACATAAAACCAGTTCCTTCTCTCCTCAAGAGAACTTACGAGGTTCTTCTGATCATGTTTTCCACATGGAATATTTTAATAGAAAGGCATCCCTGGCCTGTGTAAACCATAGTTAGCAGACATAGAGGGATCAAATGATGGTACCAGTGTTTTATTTGGTAATATAGTATTAAGCATGTGTAAAATTTCCGTATTGGAATGAGATGTTTTGATACCGTTTGTTGATATTAGTGTCACAGTTTAACCTACTAAGCACCACACAACCAAAACCAGCACAATTAGTATAAAAAGAAAACAGTTCTTGATTACTTTTTAATTCATCCTAGGGATACAGGGGAATTACATGCTTCATAGTAGATCGTGACACAGAGGGGCTACATGTGGGGAAGAAGGAGGACAAGCTTGGAATCAGAGCGTCTTCTACCTGTCCAGTAACGTTTGAAAATGTTAAGGTATTGCAGGTTGTTTAGCTATTGCAGCATAGTTTGCATGTCATTGGAACTTGACTACATATAAGGATGTTAACTAAGTCCCCTAATTATATTTTTTCCTCAGACATACTGGTTAATTGGCATATTTTAACTTTTTCCTCCCTGTTCTTTCACAGAAGTCTTGAGGGAGGTCAGTTTACTTAAGTTTTAATACAGTTTTTCTCAAACACCAGTTTATAATTGCTAAAAAAAGTGGTAAATGCCCCATCCCTGGCAGTGTTTAAAGCTGTGTTGGACAGTCTTGGGCAGTATGGTCTGTGGTGAGGTGTCCCTGCCTATGGCAGGAGGGTTGGGACTAGATGATCTTAAGGTCCTTTCCAACCCTAACTGTTCTGTGATTTGATGATAACCACATGAGGAAACGTTCTAATCAGATATTCTAGAATCAAATGACTAATTTAGAATCACAGAATAGTTAGGGGTTTATAGTTAATGTTTTATGTTTCACTGGGGAGGACTAATAAATAAACCTTGTAGACTGATTTACCTCTGAGCCTTTCTACTAGAAGCTGCAAAGCAGAATAGAACAGGAATAACGGTGGTATTTTATTTTTTTAGGTTCCTGAGACCAATATCCTGGGGCAGGTTGGACAAGGCTATAAGTATGCAATTGGAATGCTAAATACTGGCAGAATAGGTATTGCTGCACAGGTGGGTAATTCTGTTTAATACTGAATATAGCCAGTACAGAACTGGATTGAGATTTACAAAATACCTAAAGCTAACAAGAAGAAACTATTTAGAAAATACTATATTAAAACCTCAGTTGCCACTAGATGTCACTGTTCCTGTAGCTAAGTTACAGTCAAATACTGAAACAACTGTAAATGGTAAAATTCTCCTTTGGTGACATAAGCAATAGATTTAGAAAACATTAAATAGCAATTAGTTTGTCTTTGAGGGTTAACGTATTGCTTCTGAGGTAGAGCAACATCTTTCATTATGCAAATCTATTTTACAAAGAAAACTCCCATTAGAAAATATTACTCACTGAGATGTGTAATATTAATGCTTCCAACTGGGCTTATGTAGGATTACCAAATGTGACTTTATTCTATATGATGTTTTCCCAACAACTTCTTTTTAAAAGTCTACTTATTTTTAAAATAAATACTTTTCTTTATAGCAGAGGTATCCTAGTTCATTGTATTTGAAACTTGCACATTATGGCATCTTAGGGGGAAATATTTACTGACCTTGGAGTTTAAAATGTTTTTTGTTGTAAACTCAGTTTGGGTCTCAGATTACTGCTGATTTCCATGGAAATCGGGTTCAGCCCTATAATAAAATGACATAGGACAAGTATTTATGTTTTTAGCTTACTTCTGAAAGTAATGCTTTCTCTGTTTCTACTGTGTTGTGGATGTAGCTGTGTTGTATAGGATATAATATGTCTGTGCTACCAGTCTCCCTTATCTTTTGCCCTAGTTTACAGACAGACCAGGAGTGTTCCTCATGAAATTTAGACTTTCCAGGTGGGAGTATACTATGCTGCTAAATGGGTTGGCTTTTCCATCATTTATAAAGCTTATCTGTGATTAAACTTAGTTTGATACGGCATTTAAAAACCAGGGGTATAAATAATATAAAGGCTCTGGCAGTAAAATAAATGGCCTTATTTTACGCTTAATTACTCCAAGTTACATTTACAACCTAACTAAAAGTTAAGGTCAGATGGTTGTTATATCTTAAGTTACTACTTTCTTGGCACCTCTCAAATTAAGAGAAGTACACTTGAATGGACAAGAACAGCAGTTCTAAAGCCCTGTAGAATTGAATATAGTTTGGCAGTAGAAATAGTTTTAGAAGGTAATTAACATCTTATAAAATGTAATTGTGGCTGTGAAAAGGTGAATGCGAGGTAACTCCATATATTGTTACAGCTACTGAGGTGGATATACTTGGTTCATCTATATGAGTTTATAGCAGAAGGCAGCAAATCTGGTGATACAGTAACATTGCTTTATGTTCTTTTCCCAGATCCCCATTTTCCTATATATTGTGGGTTTTTTTCTAGAACCTTAAATGATGAAGGTGTAGATGTCTGAACCCAGGCAAGGTCATGGTTTTATCTTCTTGGGGCCTTGGCTTTCAGCTTAATATGTGGGTCTATCCAAAAATACCCGTACAGTATTGTACATCACTGAAAGTAGTTTGACTAAGCTCCTGAGTGTGGCAGCTGACTGCCACATTATAATACCCTGTCTTGAAGTAGAAAAGTTTTATGAGATTCCAATTTTACTATATCCCTCACTTTTTGATAGTTCTTCATGCCCTTAATTTCCCTCTTTTTTTTTCCTTTTTTCCCTTTGTTTGATGCTTCCCCTAATCTGATTTCCTATCTTTGTTTTTTCTAAGAATAAAACTAGGTAGACAGAATGCATTCAGATGGATGGTAGTTACATAATAAAACCAACTGATCTTATTTACTAATACCTATATATCCCAAGATATATGAAAAGCAGGATCCTTTCTTTACTATCTTTTTTTGGAATGGAGAACACTTCTCAAAATCTGATAGTTAAAAAAACATAAAACTAGTTTACTTTCATAATGTTTCTTCAGGCTAACAAATCAGACACTAGGAGACTCCAGTGACAGTGATGGGTTCAAACTGAAACAGGGGAAATTCAGATTATGAAGACAGGCTGAGAAAGTTGGGGCTGTTCAGCCTGGAGAAGAGAAGGCTGCATGGAGACCTCAGAGCAGCTTCCAGTGTCTGAAGGGGGCCTACAAATATGATGGAGAGGGACTCTTCATAAGGGACTGGAGTGATAGGGATGATGGGTTCAGTCTGAAACAGGGGAAGTTCAGGCTGGATATAAGGAAGTTCTTCCCTGTAAGGGTGCTGAGGCACTGGAATGGGTTGCCCAGAAAAGTTGTAAATGCTCCATCCCTGGCAGTGTTCAAGGCCAGGCTGGACGGAGCCTTGGGTGACATGGTGTAGTGTGAGGCATCCCTGCCCGTGGCAGGGGGTTGAAACTGGATGAGCTTTAAGGTCCTTTCCAACCCAAACCATTCTATGGTGAGAGTTACTTCCTTATGAATGTTGGTGTGTAGTTTTCCCAGATGTTATTCTCCAAGGTACCACTTGTGTTTTGTTGTCTTCCCTGCTGAGTGAACAAGGTGTGAACAGACAGTGGGTCTTCTAAAACTGTTCTCTGAGGTTGTTTTTTCCTAGAAAATGCTGGAAGAAATGTTCTCTCTCCTTCCACTACCTTGATATTCTAACTTCCGAAATAAATAGTTAATTCTGACAGTCCGGTGTCTTCTATAAAACAAGTAATTATTTTGATGATGCAGATAGCTTTGAATAATCATTCACATTATTTTTCCTTTAATATTGTAATGTAGATCTATAGAACTTTAGTTAGTCATTTTCCTGTGTGATTAAGAATTTTCCAAGAAACACTTAATATTTGTGCAACCACAGTTTTGTTCAAAAAGTAGAGATAATGTTTTCACAAATCTTTGCCTATAGCAAGAAAGTTTCTTTCAGGAATGGAGTAGTGTGGAGTAGGCTTAACTCCTCTGACTTTATTCTTCATCATAACTCACCGCAGTAGGTCTAACAACTGTAAAATTCTGGCTCTTGAGATTCTATACAGAACCTTCATTATGTTTTGGCTTTGTGGAAGTTGTAGCAATCCCTAGGTATGAAGAATACTTTTCTCCTGAGTACTAAGCTTTTTACAGAGGTAAAGTGCCTGACCAGAAGAACATCAAATGTTACCACCTGAATTAGGTAAAATCAGTTAACCAGTCTTTCCTGAACATATGCTTTATTTCTTACAGATGTTAGGACTGGCACAGGGCTGTTTTGACCACACAATTCCCTATACAAAGGAGAGAGTCCAGTTTGGGAAAAGTGTATTCGACTTCCAGGTACTTGTTAATGAGCACATGGGAAGTGTCCTCCAAGAGAGTAGTTGTTAACACAGTAGTTGAAGTCAGTAAAACGAGTAATCTGTTTTGTGTAAGTTGTGCTCCACCTCGTGTCATGTCTCCCCTTAATATTTGAGAAGAATTTCAGCTGAGCCACATAAAGTGTGTCAGTTCAGTGCTATGTGCCTTTGCAAGTGCCATGTAAATACTTTAAAACTTCAAAGCATTGTTGGCATAAGTCCTTGTGCTCGATAGCATATTGACAGCCTTGGAAAATAATACACATGGAGCAGCTTTCTCTTCTGATTTTAATATCACAGTATGTTGAATGCGTGCCTAGTTTTTATACCCTTTCAGGAGGTGTAGGGGAAGGCCTTTTTCTGGACACTAGAAATAATAAAAAGATGAGGAAACTGATTGAATTATTAGATTTCCTGTGTTATATAAAGGCATTTTCATGATAATACCTGTGTCTTAAAACGAAAAGAACTCTTCGTTGCAAAAATGATGTATAGTTTAATAAGGAAGATATATAATTGTAATTACTATAGTAATTTTCTTGTTAAAAGAAACCTACATCTTGGCTGAAGGAACATTAGTACTACTCACAATTCATACAGGTTTTAGGAAGCGCCCACAGAGATCTAGGAAATGATCAGAACTGCGTCTTTTGAATGGAAAATGGAATTTCTAATTGCCAAATCATTTTGTTATTTTGACCTGCATATATATTTTTGCAGATTTTAGGGTGCAGTGTTAATGTTCTAATAAGATGAAAGATTTCATTGTGTTTTGGGTAAAAGTTAGACTAGTAAATGTTCATTTTCAATCATAATAGTGTTAGGGGCTCCTTAAATAAACCCATTTTTCTGTAATACCTACTATTTAGATGTGAGCTCCATCACCTTTTTCCTTTCCTTCAAATCCATTCATTGGTCATGTCTTCTTTATGCTGCTCCTAACTCTTTGTCTCATGGCTATGGGACATGGGAAGAAGTATTTATCAGCCTGCTGGTTCTCGACTTTATTTGAGAGGTATTTGTTTTCACATCATCAGGGATCTAGGCTTATTAATGTATGAATGTGCTCATAGAGAGCTGCAAAATGAAAATACAGCTTTGACCTACCCATGTCTCTGCAGTGCTGAGGAGAACATTGAGATTTGGCTGAAGCTTTCCCTGATATTCATGGGTGCAAAGAGGTAATACTCCTGCCCAGCCAGTCAGGCAGGGAGTTCCCCAGTACTTCTGAATACAACAAAATACAACAAAAAGGAGAAAATGAGAGTGCAGTTCCTAAAAAGACTTTGGTGGCCAAGAGGTTTTCCCAACTTCAGTATCAATAGATGCAGAGGAATTTGGAATTACCAGTCCATTTGGATCTTGTATTTCTGTATTAGAGTATAGGTATGTTCCTTGGTGAAAAGAATGGCTCTTGCAAGAAATCCCAGTTGAGTACTAGATCCTGGTTCTGTCTGACTTGTGGTGTCTTTATTACAGGGGATGCAACACCAGATAGCTCAGGTGGCCACACAGTTGGAGGCAGCCAGGTTGCTGACCTACAACGCAGCCCGTCTTGCAGAAACAGGAAGGCCATTCATAAAGGAGGCAAGCATGGCCAAGTACTACGCTGCTGAGGTGACTTGCAGTTTCTTCTGTGGCTTTATTTCCCCGCTGTTTAAAAGCTTAAGCTGTTGATGAATCATAGAATCATAGATGTGTAACTTCTAATTCATATTTTGCAGTGCAATCTGTGGATGTACTTTTTATCTTGCTTCTCATTCCCAGTCCATGTACGGAATGTAAAGTAGACCACCTGAGAATAAACTGCTCACACCCCTAGATTTTGACAAGCAAGCAACAACATTAAAAGAGAAAATGAATTATTATCTTCACTCATCTAGAAAGATTGCACTTTGTCAGAATTCTCTTTTTGTGGATGGAGAAATGGCATTATGAGACTTCATTTGTGGCCATTTCAACTCTGCTGGTCACAACTGCAAGTCTTCATATGACTTAAAACTGGATTGCTTCTGCCTCTTTGTAATTGCTGCCTTGCATGCTGCTGCTAGTCTTTTTCATAGTGCAGCATATGAACTATTGCACTAGTGGTTAGGGAGTTCTTGATGTCCTCTGATGCAGAAAAATGTCATTTTTATTCTAATTTGGCTTTATTCTAATTTGGCTCTTCCCTGTAAAGCGACTGCTTTAATTGCTGGTTTGTTTCTACTTTAAATAACTACAAAGGATAAAATTTACTGCCACTTGCATGAGGTTGGATCCTGAAATTATAACTCTGAAACTATTCATAGGTTGCAACACTGACAACTAGTAAATGTATTGAATGGATGGGTGGTGTTGGCTTCACAAAAAATTATCCAATAGAAAAGTATTACCGTGACTGCAAGATAGGTGAGTGATAGTTTCTTAAACAAGTGTTTCTTGCATCATTAGTAGTACTCAACTTGGAGGATGAATGACTGGCTATTCTTTGTAAGGTATTTCTTCCTTGAGTCTGTAATCGACACTGATTCAAAGGCTCAGATATAAGAAGGTAAAAGTTTAGGTATAAATAAATATGTATGTGCGTAAGGCTAAAATGTTTCATTAGACACCAGTAAAATACAGGCACACACATTGTGTCCTATTCTATTAAGAAAATTACAGTTCAGAAAATATGACAACTTCTTTGGCTTTAAGCCCTGAATCTATGTGGAGTTTAATTTTCAAGACTTCCTTGTTTACCAGTATAATCCTGGGACCTAACACTTTGCCATTTCTAACTATATTACCCTTTGGTTTTATTGCTGATAGCATTTGTAAATACTTAATTTTGTTGGTTGTTTAGGAATTGCTTTTCAGGAAAATGTCTTGTCATTATGTGGTACCAGCAGAAGAGTACTTAAATTGCTGCATATAATAAAAGCAGGTTGCCCAGAGAAGCTGTGGCTGCCCCATCCCAGTGTTCAAGGCCAAGTTGGACAGGGCTTGGAGCAACCTGATCTAGTGGAAGGTGTCCCTGGTGGAACTAGATGAGCTTTAAGGTCCCTTTCAACCCAAATAATTCTATGATTTATACATTATAATATAAATAATTATTGTTTTTAAAATTGTATTATAAATATACAATATAATTGTAATTTTGTTTCTAGAACTTGCTCAGTAAATCTTTACTTTGTAATTGTAAATGTTTTAAATGAACTATTAGAATAATATCTGGGTCTCTCTTTCATATACTCACTGTGGTTTTATAGTCTTCTAATATATTTTCTTCTGATTTCAGGTACAATATATGAAGGAACTTCAAATATCCAGTTGAGCACCATTGCAAAAAGCTTAGCAAAGGAGTACTGAAACCAGAAGGACTCAGGACTGCTAGTGGAGTTGTTTCTCTGAACATTCATTGTGAATTACACATTCGTTTGTAATCATAAAAATCATTAATAACATCATAAATAGGAATACCTGATCACAGATGAAATCGTAAGGAAAACCATGAACCAGTTTCAGAGCAGCAAGTGTGTAATTCATCTGGAATCGTGAATTCCACATTCAAATCCAAATCCTGGGTTAAAAAGTATTTCTTTCTGCCTGAGGGACTTCTAAGCTAACACACTGGCTGGTTGCCTTAGGTTATGCCTGCAGTGTATCTTCACTTTGAGACTTCAAAGTGAAAACAAAAGAAGCCAGACCCTTGGCTTGCCTGGTATGAAAGATTCTGTTAAGCCATCTGGGAGACAAGACACTACACACGCAGCAGAACTGTTGCAGGGTGTGAAGCTGCTGTTTGTTCATGATGCCCTTTATTAGCATGGAGAAGAGAGAGAAATAGAAGTGATAGTTTCCTCTCTCCCAGGTGGAGTGATGTCTGTGGAGCTGCTGTAATTGGAGTAATTTTTATAGTAGCCCTCAGTGTGTTCTTAAGTATATCTTGGTAATTAAGCCCTTCCAGCCCCAATTTGTAGTACTGAAAGGTAGATAATATCTACCTCTCTTTCCAGCTTTCTCAGCTGTTAAGGGTTTTAATCTAAGAGGCTATTTATAGTTTTCCTTTCAGAAAAGGTTGAGTTGAAATCTTTGTGAAATTGGGTAAAAAAAGCTCTAGTAGTTCTGCAAAAAGACAGATATAAGCTAGGTAATGGGAGTGCTATGATACTACCTCACAGTGGCCTTTCCATGTTCAATGTATTTTACAAACTTTAACCCTCAGAGCCCTTCTGGGGGTTAGGGAGGGACTGTTAATTTGCAGCCTAGAAAACTCGCTCATGGAAGTTAGTGGTTCACTGGCAAAGTTTTTCTCCTTTTGAGAGAAAGAGAGTGGGATTTGGGGAAGTATTTGCTTTTCTCTCTGTTTATTTTATAATCAGACATTTTATTTACAGTAGAAACCTCTCCAGTGCTGGAGATCTCATTAAGAATCAAGAGATAGAAAGCTTAATATATGAAAAATCATTATAATTGCTGTAATTGGCAATTTGCCTCAAGTGTTTTGGGGAGGGAAGGATTGGTTTTGTGGTTTTGGCTGACTTAGGAGAATCTCAGTCACTGATGATTCACTTGGAGTGGAGTTTACAGTGTTACAGGCTGAGAGTCCCGAAGGATTTCTGAGCAAAACTGGGGTAAATGACACTTAACAAGTGTGGTTTTGTAAAACAAGCAGATGGCAGTGCCTTATACAAAGAAACAAGTGAAGAGGAGCAGCGCTATTACAGACTTTCCTTACTTTCTGTCAGCTTCAAAGGTGTCCCTGCCCATGGCAAGGGGGTTGGAACTGGATGATCTTAAGGTCATTTCCAACCCTAACTATTCTGTGATTCTAAATGCCCGCTTTAGTGAATTAATCCCCCTGCATGGGCTCTTTGCGTGTTGATAGGCAAAGAATTAATGTGGTAATTCTCCTTATACCTATAGAAAAACCCCCTCCCATATCAGTTTGATCAACAACTGTGAAATCTTCAACAATAAAAGAGTAGGAGGGTAGATTAGATGATTTCTGACGTTCTCTTCTAGCATTATTATTACAACTATTACCATTATTATCATTATTAATGCATTTCAGGTTGTTTGCAGGTTTTCTCTCAGCTGAACTGAAATGGCTGGGGAGGTTGTTAGACTAGAATTGAGACTACAGATGCTGCAACAGTGAACTACAGTTATTCTGCTCAATATAGTCTTATCTGCAAGTCTAAAATGATCATAACCGCACTACAAAATGCTTGTGTTAAGGTTGATTAATGTGATGAGTTGTGCCAATGTGAGGCAGTCCTTAGCTGCGGCAGTTTAGGCTGTTTTGCTGACGTGTGTCAGCAGAGATCAGGTTTTGATTCATACTTGTTAATAGGTCTCCTAGTTTGGGGTACTATTTTAGCTTGGCTTCTGCAGTTATGCATGAGGCTAGGAAGTGAGTGGCAATACTTAACTACTTACTATAGTGCTAAAAGCAAACCCTTTATGGAGGAAAGTGCAGAGCTCTTTGAAGGACTGTGAAGGGCTGGATACCCAGGTTTATATAAAAGGACTGCTTTAGTCCATGAAACAACCTGAACAGGCTCATCAGCTACTCAGCAGTTCTCAGAAATACAAGGTCAAGCCTTTGCCTAATGTTACAGCTGTAAATATTCCACATCTCTCAGTTCTATATACTGTATTCTGTACACAGTAACTGTTGAAAGAAGTGTCTGTGTTGTATTTGATTTTTGTCCACAAAATTCTGTGGAGAAGCATATGCACAAATGAATTAGAACCACTGACTTTCTTTCATCCTTGTTTTAAAAGGGCATGTACCATTGTGGAGAGTTATTCTGGGAAGAGGTCACTTGCTTCATCCCCTTAAGTGTGATTCCATTGCTGCACTAAATGCAGATGTTGGTTTAGTAGTAAGATGTGCTGTGCTGTTGTGCAGGAGCTGTTAAGAGCTGCCTGCATTCCCCACCCTCTGTTCTGTTTGGGACAGGCATTTATGGATTGTCTGCATTAGGCACTGTGGGCACAGGTCTGGTGGTGGTAGCTGGCTGCACCAGTGGCAGGCCATGTGTGCTAATGACAGGACTCAAAACTGCTTTATATTCCATATATATTTACACAACTAGAACAGGTTGCTCAGAGAGGTGGTAGATGCTCCATCCCTGGAGACCTTTCAAGGCCAGGCTGGATGTGGTTCTGGGCAACCTGATCTAATTGAAGATGTCCCTGCACATTGCAGGGGGTTTGGACTGGATGAACTTTGAAGTTCCCTTCTAACACAAACTACTCTGTGATTCTGGGGAGCTTTGCCTTTATGTGCCCTTCCTCAGCCCAGTCAATCCAGTCTATTTCCTTGGAACAGCATCTTCAGTATCAGATGTTGCATCTGGGCTTCCCTGATTTAGAAGAAAAGACCTGTATTGAGAATGTATTAAAAAGGGCCTGAATTTTATACGTGACTTGATCCAGTGCTAATCTTGTATATCAGGTGATGGTTCTCTAACAGTCTGCCATTTAAATTTTTTCCCAGATTTTGCAGTTTTTGTGCTAGGAGAGAATGATGGTATCATCCGTCAGTTTTCCTTAGTTTTATTGTGCTTTGGGATAAAGGTCTGAGGCAGATTTCCACAGAAACGTTTAATCGCTACTTGGGAAGTGCTCAAATACAACATTTCATATGATGTTTTCTGTGCTGTTATTCTTTCTTCCACATTTGCTTTTCCCCATGTAAAGATTGTGTTAGAAAAGGTTTATGTGAAATATAAAGTAATTGTTCATTGGGAGCCTTTTGCTATGTAAAGAATTTTCTAATTAACATGTTATTGCAGTTCCATTTGGAAATCTTTTGGTGAGAGGCACATTTCAAGCTCTTCCTTCAAGCTAAGCTCGATTTGAGACACATTCTGCTTCGAAAGCAGCTCTGACTTTCAGAGCTTGCTTACTGCATGCACCATAGCTGAAGAAATGTATTCAGTGTACCAGTGTCATAGGTCTTCTCCTAAGAGAATTACCTGCAAGTGGTTAACAGCTACCACAAACTTCTTAAATATTTACCTGTTATCATTGTGCATTGTGTGTGATGGGGACACAAATCAAGCGAGAGCTGATGGGCAGATGAATATGCATTATATAATTCCCAAAGAATTCCCACACAGTTCATCATTTTATGCTATATTGAAATGCAGTCAATTGCAGAGTGTTTTACAAGGAGCTGTCTTCTCTGAACTGTAACTCCTTGCTCCAGGTCCTGGTGAGGGGGCATGGCTGGAAGCTTTACTGATATGACTGTAAGATTAACGTAGTATGGTTGATTGCATACACACAGGTGAGAGGAAGCAAGAGTTCTTTCCAAGCCCACACCACAGACGATCAAACATCAGTGCATAGTGAATCCAGAGTTCCAGGCTAACAAACAGGATTAACAACTATTATTTCAGTTAAATATGCCAGTTGTAAGATCAGTTGCTGTAAAACAAAGTCCAGTTTAGTGGCATTGAGGGAATTTCTCATTATCTGATACTAGAGACACTGTTAAGCCACTTTGAAATATTGGCCTTTATTACCCTCTAAAAATACTCTGTTCATGTGCAATAACAAATACATTTGGAACTTAGATGATCCTAAGGCTCCCTTCCAACCCTAACCATTCTATGATTCTGTGATTAGGTAACTACAACTTACCAGTGTGTTCCCTAATAGCTTGTTTCATAGATGAGAGCATTCACACATTGATTTGTATAATGTTCAGAAGAATGTGCAATGTACAATGTAACTTTTCTGATAAACTCTTTTAAAATATAAATCAAAACTATGTATGGTCTCAATGGGCAGTAATAGCTTTTATATATATTCTGTCTTTCAAGATCATTTGAATTTATATCATTCTGAAACTCTTCTTCCTTTCTGTGTCTTAGTAGCTGTAGAGCTACTAATACTGGAGAACTGTACGTAGAAAACAACCTCAGGGTGACTTCACTAAAGATCCTAAAGACAGAGCACTCCCGACCTGACAGAAAACAGTGTCTCAGCAGCCAAGTAGCCATCACTTTCAGAACTGGATTTATTTAATCCATACAATGAGGACTTCTGAACATGCAGGAGATTATGTTCATCAGACATTTTGCAGGGATCTCTGAAGAAAGAAAAGCTCTTCCATAAAAGAAAGAAAGAATCAAATAGCAGCGGGAAAATCTAAAATACAGCAATAAATCCCCAACTTCCACATTGCTGGTTTGTGTATTTGGGGGTCTCCTAGCCAGGAAATAAGCATATATGGACTGAAATCATCAGGTCTAACCATCAGTTTGGAGTGTTACACAACCCATTGTCACAGTTTGTGAGTTTTAAAAACCTCTGTTGTAAATGGCCAGATGAAGCAGGGCTTGAGTGCTTTGGGTGTGTTGAACAGGGGAGAGAAGGCAACTTGCAGACACGAGCAGGACTGACAGTGAGCTTTGGTTCATCCGTAACGGTGGCTGGAGGGTCACAGTGGGAAGGCACTGAAGAGCTGAAATGGAACATTACTGTTTGTTTAGAGACAAATGCAAGTGGGCAGATCAAGAAACGTCTTGATGTTTTCCAGCAGTGATGACTTTCCCAGTGTAGAGAGAACAAAGGAAAGCATGGAGCTGCAGTACAATGGGTTCATGTTGAATTTGCATCCGCTACCTCTCTGTCCCTTAAGTTTGGTGGATTCAGTTCTGGAAAGTTCCCATTTTGGAGCCTGCAGAAAGACTCTGGTTGGGTCTCCACTTCATAGGACACAAGAAGCTCTGATACAGACTTCCAAAGCTGGTGTTCTGCTTGAGGGGTTGTTCCCTGCCTTCTCTTATGGACATTCAGCCAAGACTTCTAAACTACGACCCACCCATCAGAGGAACAGAGTAATTTTCTGTCATCCTTGCCATCACATTCTTTGCTCCAAGTGTCTTGAATATTTTTGGCCTGATTCATTTTCTAGGACATGCTGCAAGATTTTTCTGTTCACTAATTTGCATCCTAAAGATGCAGATTAAATGCTAATTGTTCAATATAACCAGAGCAGTCCTCCAGCTTTAATTTGATACTGGGTCACTGAGGTTTTCTGCCTTTGTTTAGGTGGTACCCAAAGAGGTGATAATTACATTTTAGACATTAGTTTGGATATTTTTTGTTTCCCTGTATGGATACAAAAAGTAGAGATTGTGAAAGGTAAATAGAGTCCCAGAGGCTGCAAATGTTATTTATGCTAGAAAGTATTAGCTAATAGAACTTTGGTGATGCATCCAGCATTGACTAAAGGACCAGCTGAAGTGAAAAAGCCACCTTTGAAATGATGCTGAGTTTGTAGGCACAGTGTTTTACTTTGTGTGTGTGTTTTATCTCATAGGGAACAGCTTTGTATCAACTCTGCTAAACTGACCCAAAACCAACCAAGGAATAATTCAGAAAGTATAAAGTTAAGGTTCTGGCAATGTGGTTAAATTCTGAAAAGCTCCATAGAACCATGGTTTATTAATGGAGCTGTTGAAGACAGAGTTGGTATGGAGCAAATGCAGTTTGGTGCAAACTACTGCATTAGACACTCTGTTCTGAGGGGGAGGCTTTCACACATGCAGCATTGCTCCAGTTGCTCCCATAACAATTGAGGCAAAGCACTTTTTTCAGTGTAGGTACTTTTTGAACTTTGGAAACGTTTTGTGACTCCCTGTTACGTCCTAGAACATGGTTACAAGATACAAAGTCTCTGCCCATGTTCATAGTCTTTGTTTTCCCCATGGTCTGAGAAAAACCCCTTACATTCCACTGTAGGATTTTTACCAACCCCAAACTGTTCCTCTCCCTTCCTAAACACCAAATCACTGAGGTCTGTCCAACCAAGCTTTAAAAAGAACCTTTTTCTCAGTTTAATTGTAGCAATGGCTACGTTTGTTTGATGTGGCAAGGTTATTTTGATGGTTGCTTGAATAATAAAAGCTAGGTTCTACAAGCTATTTATCATAAAACGTATTTGGCTGCCATGCAGGATTCAGTTCCCAAAGTCCATGGTAAGGTGCAGCAATAGGTCTTCCATTTTATGCTAGAAGTATTTTAGCTCTACTCTACTTTGACTTCAGTGGTTCAGTTGCAGAGATAAACAACTCTCTAGAGGTAATATAACTTATCATCACTTAAGAGTTATTCAAAATATACCTTGTTATCCTTGTGTAAGGATCTGGGCCACAAGAGGGTTGTGGCTGTCCTCTGATTCTTGAGGGGGCTGACAGCACTGGGTTAAAGCACCCGATGACCTGGTGTCCCAGACTGTTGCCAACCCTCTCTACATTGCTGCTTCTGTGTAGAAGTGTCCAACCCCCTTTTTTTTCCCCTTAACTGTAAAAGCCTTCTGGCACTGAATTACATCTATTTCTTGACTGAAACATATCTGCTCTATGCTAACCTCATTATCCAGGAATGATTTCTAGAAGAGGAAGTGAAGAATAATTAAATCATTCCTAACTGAAGGAAATGCTTCACAGGACTATGCAAATTCCAATTTGGCCAAGATGCTGTGGTTTCATGTTCTATTTCTGGGAAGGGCAGAGGGAGGAACAGCTATTTTTGGAGTGGTGGATAGCCACGTTCTGACTTTGCTTTTCTCTCTTGCTTTGAGATCATGTTGTGACAACCCTGGTGAGAAGGGAGCACAGTACCTGTCATCGCTGGCTTCTCCATACCTGCCCGCTTGCTGCAAGTCTCATCTGCCGTGGTTCCTGTCTCCTGAGATCACAGAATCCCAGACTGGTTTGTGTTGGAAGGGACCTTACAGCTCCAACCCCTGCCATGGGCAGGGACACCTTCCACTAGAGCAGGTTGTTCCAAGCCCCTGTGTCCAGCCTGGCCTTGAACACTGCCAGGGATGGGGCAGCCACAGCTTCTCTGGGCACCCTGTTTCAGTGCCTCCCTGAAATGGGGTATTTTGCCCGTGTGCACAATCAGGGCTCAGCCCCCGTCCAAAGCAGTGATTTCTCTCTGCAGTGCTGTGCTGCCTTGGCTGTCCACACAGAGCAGAGGTACAAGGGGATGGACCCACTTTGCCCCTGCTTCTCAGCCTGGATGCGGTGCCTGGAAAAAAACCCAGCAGGATTACATTTGGGAGTTAAAAAACGAGATTCCTGTGTGTGCGTTCAGCAGGAGTGCTTGGGGGAGCCTGTGGGCTGGGCACAGCCCTCCCGGGGCTCTCATGTCTGTAGATTTTTCCGTCTGCAAATCTCACTCTTGGAAGGCTTAAGGCAAAAAGAGGGGGAAAAAAACTTACCCCAAAAGCCAACTACAACTAGCTATTCTTACGTGGGGATGTTTGCAAATACGTTAGTGATGTGTAACTGAATTATTAACTGGCAAAACCATAATGAGAGCGCTGGAAGAATGGCTTTTCAGTGCTCCACAACTTTTGTCTTTCAAGGAATCAGATTGCTAAAATGAGTTCTGCACTCATGAAACCCGTTTAGAATTAACAGCATCTGTCCTGCTTTTCCAGCTTGCCTTTAAAAGTTACCTCTTACAGTCATGAAGTGTAAATAGCCAACTCCAGCGCTTTGCACAAGGTACCAGCCTCGTGTCTCTTCCTAAACGGGTTGATTTATGTGCTGTTTGCTGGTTTTGAGCACACAAAACAATTAATTTATGTGTGAAAAGAACAGTGAATTAATCCTAGAGAGCCCTGGAGCCTTTAAAGACCTGAATCATATGTTGAGCTCGTTTAAAACTTGCATAAGAAATTAATGTAGAATAAAGCCCTTTAATTTGAAAGGTGCATCTATAGTAGGTGTCCCTAGGATATCTCCTGGATCATTATTCGGAAAGGTTAAGGAGGACTTTATTTTTCCCCTTTCTTTCCTTTTTTTCCCCCTTATATTCAGTCTGTATTTTCCAGTTTGCAGCTCAACGTGGTGCATTTCGACTTCTAAAGGGACAGAGGGTTTAAAAAGGAACGGGGGAGCTTTTTATTCACCTTCCACTTAATTTCCTTGCTGCCTTGCCAGTCCCAGCTTAATGAATGTAATTGCTACCTTTGATGAAAATACTATTATCAAGATCACACATTACATTGGAAAACAGTTTTTCTTTAAACACAGCTACTGCAGTCTCTAATTATGCATGTAACAAGTGGCTCCCGAACAAAAGAGCATGTTGTCTACAATTGCTAGGAATTGGAGCAAGGCAAATTTCAACAAAGAACAGATTAGATTTGCTCCATGCTCCACAAAGCCCATTCCCCTGATTAATTTCCTGCAAAAACTAAAACAATTCTCTCTTAAAAGAAACTAACCCTCATCCCCAGAATGATCCATATGCCATTTGTGTCAATCTATATGATGATAATGGCCACAGATTTAAATTATTAACTATTTGATGTAGTAAAATAGGAAAGCTCTTTTATAAACTTACCTTTTCATATGTAAATAAGCAGTACAAGGATTTAAGGAACAAAAAAAATGACTTTTCTGTGGAAACCAGGAGCAAGAAAGCACCCAGTTACTGAAAGTCTGTTTTGTGCATGTATAATCCAGTTATTTTGTCAGTTTACCCTGTGCTCCGTGCTCTGCACAGGCGATGCAGCAGGAGTGTCAGGTCTCCAAACAGTGTGTTGGGTTTTCCAGGAGTGACATATCTGAGGGCTATTTCCCATGCGTGCACTTTGAGGAGAGCTCTTCTGAGAAGGAGTTAGTTTAATTCTTAAAACAAAGGATTTTGGCAACAGGAAGAGTCAAAATCAGTGATTTTGGAAATACATCTTGCTATTTGCTATGCATATTTGCTATACATTTGAATTGGAAATATATTTTGCTATTATTCCATGGAAAAGCAGGCAGAAACTGGTAAAATTCTGAATTGGTACTTTGCTGTTGATAGAATCCTGCAAGAGGAATTTAAATGGTTTTCTGTATTTCCAATACAAGGAATTAGTCCTAGCAATTTAGAATGTAGTGTTAATTTTCATTCTTACTTGTATTGATCTAGGATCCCTAGCCCAGTGTACCAGATCTATATAAACCACATTTACCTGGGTGAAAGCAGAAAAGAAAAGAGTTCTACATCAGAGCGTTTACAAACCGGATTAGGATAGGATGTGGAGTCCTGTGTCCAGCTCTGGGGCAACAGCACAAGAGGGATGTGGAGCTGTTGGAGCGAGGCCAGAGGAGGCCATGGAGATGCTGCGAGGGCTGGAGCAGCTCTGCTCTGGAGCCAGGCTGAGAGAGCTGGGCT